CAAAACAGACTCACAGGTATAGAGAACAAACTAGTGGTTACCAGTGGGGAGAGGGAAGGGGGGGAGGGGCAAGATAGGCGTAGGGGAGTAAGAGGTACAAACTATTGATACTATGTATAAAATAAATAAGCTACAAGGATATATTATACAGCACAAGGAATATAGCCAACCTTTTATAATAACTATAAATGGAGTATAATCTTTAAAAATTGTGAATCGCTATGTTGTACACCTGAAATTTATATAGTATTATACATAACTGTACCTCAATTTATTTTTTTGTTTGTTTTCTTGGGGTACGCGGGCCTCTCACTGTTGTGGCCTCTCCCGTTGCGGAGCACAGGCTCCGGACGCGCAGGCTCAGCGGCTATGGCTCACGGGCCCAGCCGCTCCGCGGCATGTGGGATCTTCCCGGACCGGGGCACGAACCCACGTGCCCTGCATTGGCAGGCGGACTCTCAACCACTGTGCCACCAGGGAAGCCCTAGATGACTATTTTTAAAAGTCTATTGAATCTGGGGGCTTCCCTGGTGGTCCAGTGGTCAGGACTCCACGCTTCCACTGCAGGGGGCATGGTTTGATCCCTGGTCAGGGAACTAAGATCCCGCCAGCCGTGCTGTGCTGCTGAACCCATAGAAACAGAGAGTAGATTGGTGGCTGCCAAAGGTGGGGTGGGAGGTGAGGAGTTGGATGCAAATGAGTGAAGGCAGTCAAAGGGTACAAACTTCCAGTTATAAGATGAGTAAGTTCTGGGGATATAACATACATCATGGTGACTATTGGAAACAATACTGTAATGTATATCTGAAAGTCGCTGAGAGAGAAAATCTTAAAAGTTCTTACCACACACACACACACACACACACACACACAAAGGTAACTATATGAAATTATGCATGTGTTAACTATATGGTGATCATTTCACAATATATAAATATGTCAAATCATCACAATGGGTACCCTAAACTCACACAGTGGTATATGTCACTTATAGCTCAACAAAGCTATAAAAAATAAACCTAATTACCTCCCCCCAAAAATTTTTCAAAAAATAAATAAAATTAAACGTCTAGGGCTTCCCTGGTGGCACAGTGGTTGAGGGTCCGCCTGCCGATGCAGGGGACGCAGGTTTGTGCCCCAGTCCGGGAGGATCCCACATACCACGGAGCAGCTGGGCCCGTGAGCCATGGCCGCTGGGCCTGCGCATCGGGAGCCTGTGCTCCGCAACGGGAGAGGCCACAGCAGTGAGAGGCCCACGTACCGCAAAAAAAAAAAAAAAGGTCTATTGACAAGGGGCTTCCCTGGTGGCGCAGTGGTTGAGAATCTGCCTGCCAATGCAGAGGACACGGGTTCGAGCCCTGGTATGGGACGATCCCACATGCCGCGGAGCAACTGGGCCCGTGAGCCACAATTACTGAGCCTGCGCGTCTGCAGCCTGTACTCCGCAACAAGAGAGGCCGCGATAGTCAGAGGCCCGCGCACCGCGATGAAGAGTGGCCCCCGCTTGCCACAACTAGAGAAAGCCCTCGCACAGAAACGAAGACCCAACACAGCCATAAATAAATAAATTTAAAAATTCACGACATATGTCAATATTAAAAAAAAAAGTCTATTGACAAGAGAAGGAGAAAAGAGCATTCGCTTGGGTAGATGAAAGGACAAAAGGAAAATTGTTTTAAGCTGAGGGAACTTGCTTGCTCAGAGGTGATGCCAAAGAAGAGGCATTAAAGATCACAAAGAATGAGAGGATGGAAGTGGCTCGAGGTCCTAGGAAATGGGAGGGACACAGTTCAGGTGGAGGGCTTGGCTTCGAAGAAGAAGGACAAGAGGCAAAGGGGTGGATCTTCACGGAGAAGTCATTAGTGAGATGGAGGCAAGGTGAGGTTCACATCTATGGCCTTTTTTTCTCAGAGAAAAGTAGGTAAGGTCATCTGCTGACAGGCAGTGCGGGTCTTGGAAGAGTGATGTAAATTTCTGAAGATTTTGTAGGGAATGCATGAGGGGCAACAGAAGTCAAGCCTCCAGACTCTTCGACAGAAGCTGCTCTATGGGGATTCCTGCCTTCTGAGGGCCAGGCTCTCCACACCAGCTTCTCTCCTCTGGCCTGAGGGTCAGGCTCTCCACACCAGCTTCTCTCCTCTGGCCTGAGGGTCAGGCTCTCCACACCAGCTTCTCTCCTCTGGCCTGACCCAAACCCAGCTCCTTCCCCTGAGTCAGTCTAGACTGCCGCCTGGAAGGTTCTTCACTCTCCAAGTATTTTCTGAACATACACACCACGAGCCCCATTTTCTCCGGGCAACACGCTCTCCCTCTTCCCACAGGGTTTCCAAACCTTCCCCCCACCTTTGCAGACACCCCCACCCCTTTCGCCTCCACCCACTGTCTACAGAGCACACAGACACCATCAGACTCATCTGCCAACTACCAAACATGCAAATTTACCTACAGCTGCACCCTCTGCTGCTGATACACCATTTTAAAACTGCCGTTGAACTTAGGGGGTCTTGACCAACATTTAAAAATACAATAAAAAGAATAGAAAACAGCATCTATTGTACATCCTAAGAGTATATACTGTTTCTTAAAGCTTCTGTTTCAATTATGATGCATCTGTTACTATGAGTTGAGGTCAAAAAGTTTGTGTATGTTTGAAAACTTTCACAATAAAAAGTTAAAACAACACTGCCATGGAGAAAGCTGTCCTTCCCTCCATCTACGGCTAATCCTCACACCTGTGTTTTGGGCCCCATCCCCTCCAGGACCCTTATATTATGGACCTTATGTCTTCTTTCTCTGTAAAAAACAAAAACACCTCACTGGCCTCCTCATACCCCCCATTTATTCCCTGTTCCTCCCTCACAGTCAAACTTCTCCAAAGAGTTATCTGGGTTCAGCATCAACTCCATACCCTGCTCCCACCCCTTCGTCTCACCCCTTCGGTGTGCCTCCTGCCCACAGCACTCCTGGGACACGGCTCTCCGCAAAGTCACCAGTGACCCCTGAGCCCACACATCTAGAAGACACTTTCCAGTGTTCATGACTCCTTGTTCATTCCTGCTCTTTCTTCCAGCCTGGGCTCAACCCCTCCCCCTCCCTCCGGAAGGCTTCACTGACCTCCCAACAAGGTCAAACCTCCCACTAGGGGCACTCGCTGTTCCTCTGTCCTTCCCAACAGTTGTCAATTGTTGCTGTTACAATTTTACATGTTTTTGTAATTATCTGCCCAGATTAGGCCTCCTCAAGGAGGAAGGGGACTCTGCCTATCTTGATGCCCCTTGGCAGCCCAAGAGCCTCCTGGGCTCAGCGCCGGGCACAGTGCTTAATAAACTGATGTTAGATAAATAATCGGCACCAGCCCCTGTGCCAGGCATTACGTGTAAAATGATGAAAAACGTCCCAGAAAGTGAAAGGTGTTGAGGGGGAGGAGAAAGCCAGGGGCAGAGGTGGAAATAAGGGGCAGCTCCTGTCCTGCTTCCCGGACCAATCTGGGGCCTTTTGCAGAACAGCACATGCCTTCACGGCTGCCACGTTTCACTGTCTTTGTGTCAGAAAAGTCAGCAACTCAGGTAGGAAAATTTGCTTAATAGTTCATACTTGACACGCAGAACTCTTAATGAATCCTTTTAAACCACTACATGTTCAATATTTGCCGAAAGATGAATAGGGGACACCTCCTTCTGGCATCGAGCTACTAAAAAACAGGACCTGGATCTTTTCATTTGCCCAGGTGTGGCTGGCATGTCCCACCTGCACAGGGTTCCTGTAAACTCCAGAGAACACAAAAGGCCTCATTCTTTGCTGTCTAACCACACCCAAAGACTATTTTATTGTGTTACACGCTTTCACTACTTGGTTATTGATTTCCTGTGGCATATCACTATACAAACACTCACTTAAAGACTTTAAAAGACCAAATAAATATGACAAGTATTTAAAATTAGAAACATAGTACGGAGATGCAACCAGCAAAATCCAGACTGTGGGAAACTCTATTAAACAAATGACCGTTGTTTTTTTTTTTCCAGCAAAACACTTGGGAGATGGGGGAAGGATTTAAAAGTGATTAAAGAGACACATTAACTAGGCACGTTGTATAGAACTTGTTTGGCTCCTTAATCAAATATAGTAACTTTTAAAAAAGGAAATTATAGGGCTTCCCTGGTGGCGCAGTAGTTGAGAGTCCGCCTGCCGATGCAGGGAACGCGGGTTCGTGCCCCGGTCCGGGAAGATCCCACATGCCGCGGAGCGGCTGGGCCCGTGAGCCATGGCCGCTGAGCCTGCGCGTCCGGAGCCTGTGCTCCGCAACGGGAGAGGCCACAACAGTGAGAGGCCCGCGTACCGCAAAATAAATAAATAAAAAAGGAAATTATAGGATAATCAGAGAAATGTGAATATAGCCTGAAACTCTGATTATAATGAGGAAATAATCAGCACTTTTTTGGAGTGTGGTAATGGTATTGCAGCTATGTTTTTAAAGGATAGTCTTGATCTTTTTGAGATACATATTGAAATATTTATGGTTTGTAAAATATGAAATAATATAAGGTTTGGGATTTGCTGTAAAATAATCAGAGTGAGGTGGGGTGGGGAAGGTCTAGGGTTGTAGAAGGAACAAGCCTGCCAGTGGGGAATTGTTGAAGTTGGTACACATAACACTTTGCTCTCCTCTTTTAAATTTTCAAAAAGTTAAAAAAGAAATCTAACGAACAAACTGAACCATTAAAGTATCTAAATTTTTGTTAAATAATTTTTAAAGTCTGGAACACCTTAGAATTCTTTCACTTTCCAAGATGTCTACAATAGAGCAGTGCTTTGATTCACAAGCTCTGTAAAGTATCTTTGAAAGTGGGATTCAGCACTCACCGGCTGCTTGCCTTTTGCCACATTTCTACTGTAATGCATCACCCTCTTTCCTTCCATCAGAACAGGCAAATACAGTCTGGCAATGCCTTCCTACTGCTTTTGAAATGCAACTTTAAAGCCATGTCTCGACCACCTACCTTGGCCTGCAGTTGTGCTGGGGTCTGTCAAGAACTGTCAAACCCATGCTTCATGATGACCATACTCCTGATCCCTGTCCATTCCCAGTGGGGTCTCACATCAGTCTTTGAAGGTGCCTCCCACACACTGGGCCTGCAGGGTAGCCTGTCCATTCTTGTCCTTTACTGCTCCCTTCCCATAAAAGTTTGAACTGGCCAACTTAAAATATTCGGAAACTTCCAAAGTCTACTGGACTCTATGCCAAAACCTCTTGTTGGGCAGAAATGAAGTTCTTGAGAGGGTTTAACGATCTTCCATTCCACTTCTGATACAGACAACACTACCCCCTACCCATAGGTTCACTATAGCTAATTCAAAAATGTTGCCTAACTCCAGCTGCAACTCTCAAGTCCAATAAACTTTGTTTGGCTACAGACTTTCTTAACTTGAGTAGGACAGATTGAACTGCTGAAAAATTTAAGGGAGGCAGGTCAGATTTTTTTCCCTAGCAAAAATAAATCTTCTCTAAACCTTCCTTGGGTAAATCAACACTTTATAAAATAAAGCATCTACTGCATTCCCCCGGACTACCCAAAGACAAGATAACCAGTTATATTTCATTCACCAGCCTTGGAACCATACCTCATAAAAAACCAAAAGCCTCCATCTATCTCGCCCATGAAACAAAGAGAACAAAAACTTAGAATATATACTACAAGCGCAAGCACAGGATTTTTTTTAGCAACCCCGTTTCCATCAGGTGCACGTCTACCCACACAAACACACAATAACCCTCACCCCACCCCCCCGTGGAATTTGCCAGTGTGACTTGTGCTGACTTTCAGCGGAGAAAGACAGGAATTTACGTTTAGTTGTGGTTTTGGCTTTCAATGGGAAGGAAAGGAAGAGTGTGGGGCGTGAAAAACTGGAAATGAGTCTTAATTCTCTTGTTTCCTCCCATCCTTCTCTGCATCAAAATGCAGGTATATCATTGAAATTTCAAATGTGTTTCTCGGGCAGTTAAATACCCCGACGGAGTCTGGGAACAGGGGGTGGAGATAAAGGTGAAACCGAAGATTGGAAGGGTGGGCCGGGTCTGAGGCCCCGGCGCTCTGCCGGGTTGCACCGAGCATGCGAGGTCGCCCCGCGCCTGCTGCCGGCCGCGCCCTGGTTCTGGCCTGGCCAGCTGTCCTGGGTTTTGCCAGCGACTGCGCCGTCCGGGGTGCCCACTCACACCTCTGGCTGGTCCTGACTTTAGGCTAGGTTCATTCACTTCCGGTGACAAATCCCTCCCACCACTTCTAGAAATAATGTAACATTTCCCCCATCACTTTCCTAACAACCGACTGCCCCTCAGACAGCAGCCGAGTCCGGGTCCGGGGTCTCACCCTGGCGAGACCAGCAGCGCCCAGCTGCGGAGGGAGTGACGGCCAAGGTCGGGGGTGGGGGGAGGGCGTGGGAGGAAGAGGAAGGAGGTGTGGAATCTCACCTCCCCCGCCCCCACCCCTCCGACTGCAGTAATTGGCAAAAAAAATAAGCCGTTTTTAGACTTCCCCAGGGCCCCCTGAACCTGGTTGCAGTGAGGAACCCAGTCTCTCCCATTCCGGTGCCCCTCGCCTTCTCCCGGCCCCGTAAGTGACTGCGGGAATCCTGGAGCCCCAGGCCACGCGGAACTGCAGCGGCGGGGGTGGGGTGGGGTGGTAGGATGAGGGTTTAGGGGCGGCAGGAATGGGTGGGAGGAAGGGGTGGTGGAAGGGAGAAGGAGAAAAACAGAGGCATGCAAAAGGCTCCGTAGCTGTTCCAGCTGCCGCTTCCTCCGGCGCGGGCCGGGCGGTGTAATATTCCCCCCCCTCCATCTTTCTCACCACTACCTGTCCCACCCACCCACCACAGGCACACATTCCCCCCACCAGTAGCGGATCTGCAGCCTGTAAGGGGGTAGTAGGAAGGAGCTGGGGGGAGGGGGAGGCCTGCGAGTTTCTAACCTTGTTCTTATAAACAAACCCACATGTGCAGCTGCCGCTGCTGCAACTCACCCCACAATCCCGGATATAAGTCCTGCCCCTTTAAGAGGAAAAAAAGCTTCCCCCGCCTGCCTTCCACCCTACCCATCCACAAGGACCTTTGTCTCCCCACCCACTCTGTCAGTCGGCCCCGCCCCATATCCCCGCCCCCTCCAACGCAGAGGAACCAATGGGTGAAGAAAATAAGGCCGGGGTCTGACGTCAGCATGTCCGGCCAATCACAGGGCGCGTTGGTGGGAGGCCTCGCGTTGGGCGCGCCGGGAGGAAGGAAGGCAGGAGAAAGGAAGCTTGAAGGCAAGATGGAGAATGCTAGTGGCTCTGCTACTGCTGTGGCGAGCAGGGACTTGGGATCCCAGAGGGGCCGGAGCCTGGTGCCTGAGCGGCTTCAGAGTCGAGAACATGAGCGGCAACTGGAGGTGGAAAGGCGGAAGCAAAAGCGGCAGAACCAGGAGGTGGAGGAGGAGAAGAGCGACTTTTTCGCCGCCGCCTTCTCTCGGGAGCGATTGGCCGTGGAAGAGCTTCTGGAAGGCGGGGAGTCCGTGGAGCAGCTGGAGGAGGCGGCCGCTCGGCTGCAGGGGCTGCAGAAACTAGTCAACGACTCGGTTTTGTTCCTGGCCGCCTACGACTTGCGGCAGGGGCAAGAGGTGTTGGCGCGGCTGCAGGAGGCCCTGGCCAAACGTCGCCAGGAGCTGCAGCCTAAGAAGCGTTTCGCTTTCAAGACCCGCAGGAAGGATGCTGCTTCAGCCACCAAAGTAGATTCGGCTCCCGGCGCCCCGGCAGCGGAAGGCATCCTGGCCTCCCCGCCGCCCTTGAAGGAGGAGGAAGGCTTCGACTCCAGCTGGATCTGCGGCTTCTCCAATCTGCAGTCCCAAGTCTTGGAGAAGAGAGCCGAGGAGCTGCACCAGCGGGACGTCCTTTTGACCCAACTGATTAACTGCACGATCAAACTGTATGGCAATCCCAACACCCTGCGGCTGACCAAGGCTCGAGGCTGCACGCTGCTCTGCGGCCCGGTGTCCACCTCCGTGTTCCTGGAGAACTGCAATGACTGCGTGCTGGCCGTGGCCTGCCAGCAGCTCCGCGTACACACCACGAAAGACACCCGCATCTTCCTGCAGGTGACCAGCAGGGCCATCGTGGAGGACTGCACCGGGATACAGTTTGCCCCGTACACCTGGAGCTACCCGGGGATCGACAAGGACTTCGAGGGCTCTGGTTTAGACAGGAGCAAAAATAACTGGAGCGACGTTGACGATTTCAACTGGCTGGCCCGTGATGTAGCCTCCCCAAACTGGAGTATTCTTCCTGAAGAAGAGCGAAGGATCCAGTGAGACTAAGCAATTGTCACTCTTTTCTTCACTCCTACCAAATACACTCCCTTGTGGGACTGACTCCAGCTAATGGGACCCCAAAATTTACTTCTTGTCACGCTGTCTGTTTTCATTATTTTAAGGCTTTAGATTGTGATAGGCTCCTACTTTCGATTTCCATTAAATTTGTGGCAGGTCTGGCACTTTAAAGAATTTTTGCTATTTTGGTGATGTTTCGGAGCTTTTGTTTGACGGTGATAATTTGAAGCCATAAGGGGAAGAGAGTGTGGTTTTTAATGCTTTGTGGTGTTTAAAACTTACTGCAGAATAAAGTAAGCCTTCAATAAATATTTGTTTAATAAACGAATTCAGTAGGGCTAGTAGGAGCCAGTTAATGTTGAAGTAAGGTATCAAAACGTGTTCAAACTGCCATTAACCAAGAGCTTTTTTGAATTGCAGGTTTGACTTCCATACGTATTTTTCAGTGGGGCAATGGAAATATTCCTCTCTGGTCTTCAGTTACATGTTAGCTTGGGTTTTTGGCATCCAGCTAGGCTTCGACTTATTTGGATCCAAACTTTTGGCACGGACCCCAAGAGCCTCAGGAGTCTTAATCACCTGTAAAGCCAAAATAGTTATAGCTGCCAATTTTTTGTGCACTTAAAATGTTATCGACACCATTGTAAGCACCTTACTCATGTAAACTTATTATAAGTCCTCAAAATATTATGAGGGTAGTTTCTGTTAACTCCATTTTTCAAGTGAGGAAACAGATAAGTTGCCCAAAGGGCACACAGCCCAAGTGGCGGACTGGGATTTGAAATCGTGTAGTCTGGCTTCAGAGCCCACGTTCTTAACCTCTACTAGATATTGATTTTTGAGTAGTGTTAATTGAGTTGAAAAGAAAGCTTCCAAAAGTAAAGAGGGAAAATTGCTTTTCTTAAATTCTCAGGCATAATGGCGCTACGTATCTATCCTCATACAAGAAGAATTGAGGCAAACATCTGGCTGAGTCTTGATTTTTCCACCCATTTTGCTACATTTTGTTATTCGCTACTGTTACAAATTTGGCTTTCTGCTCTATATACTACCACTCATTATTCTTAAATGGAAAGTTGTAAGATTTTCAAAAAGCTTTTCTGGGCCTAGTGGCCTTGTAACTATGGATGTGCTTTTTATTTAATAATTACCACAAGTATTAAGGTGCTTAAATATCTCAAGTATTTATGTATTTAATATTATATGTTCTCTTTTGTTCTGAAAAAGGATTTAAAGTGGCTTCTAGGATATGTGAAATGTAACAAGATAATAAAAACAAATGACAAGGAGGAACAAGGGTAGAATGACAGATTGGAAGCAGAAATGAAGCCAATAAAAAAAATGTAAGCTGCGAAGCCCTATTTCTTAGCTGGACGTGAATCCTGATTTTTTTCCCCTCAACTGTTAGCTGACTTGAAAAGGGATCCTAATCAATTTCACAGTTCGCAGCATCCACAAACAAGAGGGAAAATCGTTTACTTGGGAGAGTTAATCCTTATGATAAAAAGAAACAACATATAATGAAATTTTCAACCATATCTTTACATTAGAAACTGACCTGTATCCTAAAGCTGTGCCCCTAGAGACTGATAGTTTAACACAAGTGCACTTAAGAATAAACCATGCTTGGTTTTTTTTTGGTTGCCCCACCTGGCTTGCAGGATCTTAGTTCCCGACCAGGGATCGAACCTGGGACCCTTGAATTGGAAGCGCAGAGTCCTAACCACTGGACCGCCAGGGAATTCCCAACCTTTTTCTACTAAAGCTCATAATTTTACACCTGTAACTCTGCTGACCACCTGACCAGTTGTAGGCCATCCAACTAGCTCCCCCTGACTGACGTCCCTCAATATTTGAAAACATTTCCATCTTTGCTGGTCTTCTTCCTTACTAGAGGCATATCTCTTTTTGCCCAGAGATTCCTCTTACGCTCGTGCCCATCCCCTCCAACCTCCTGTGGCCTCCCTTTCCACTGGCCTTTGTTCTTTTAAGACACCAGATCCTGAGGTCCTCCACCCTACATGTCACTGAATGATTTTCCAGCTCCTTCCCTGTGTGTCAGACATCTTAAAAGAATAGCTGTGTCCACATACACCTACATTTTTCACTCTTTCAGTCTTTGTAATTTTAACTCTTCTCTGCTGAAACTGCTCTTTGATGGTATTAGTGGCCTAATCGCCAAATCTACCGGCTCCCTCCCCTCCCCCTCCTCAGCACTTTTACTCTTGGTACAGTTTACCCTTTTTTGTTTGTTTGTTTTAGGTACAGTTTACTCATCCTTGAAGTTCTCTCTTTCCTTGGCCATAATCTTTAACCTGTTTCTCTTATGTCAGCTTCCTTCCTTTCATTGGGATTCTGATGAT